GCTGAACCTCTCCAGACAAGGAGAAGATAGCTGCCCAGATAGCTGAATCTCAGAGAAGACCACAAGAGTGTAGTTTTCTGTGGATTTGAGTGCCAGGAGGTATATTAGCCATGTTTTTCATTTATATTTCTTAACCACTCATCAACCTCAGAGATTGCTTGCAACTACAACGTAGTGTTTTAAAGGACATTAAGTTTGCAAGCTTTATTTTCTAATCACTTTCAGAAATTGCCTATTAACCATCTTAAAGCTATTAGAGATCTTCAAAAACAACAAATCTGAAAAGTTACCAGGTAAGTTTAACATCAATTCTGAACAAATGAAAAATTAATTATAAACTTAAGAACTTAAAGTATTTGAAATAAACACCTAAAAGGTACATAAGATTTTGATCTGGAAAAGTTATAAACAGATTAATGGTTGAGCTAAATTTGTATTAACTTTTATTATAGAATTTTAGAATTAATTATAAAAAATGACTAACTTTTCATAGGTACTAGGTGTATTTTAGCTACTTTGGCTGCTGTAAATCATTGGATTACAGGACCCTCCTTTCCCGCCCAAGCAATTTTGAGATGGGATGGAATGACAAACAAGAAATTCTGTTAATCAAATATTAGTTTGCTTATGCACTGTTGAAAAAAACAGTTCTAAATTTCTATTGTATTTCTATATGATATTGAAAAAAGGTCCCCCATCTCACATTTTACCTGTAGTAAGAGGTGCAGATGGCCCCTTCAGACCTGCACTCTCCACAATGGTGCCATCTGTGTGAACCACAATCAGAGTGGCTTTTTCAGCATTTAAGCTGTCCCCAATCTGAAGAGCTGTTCTTCCAGACTGAAATAAAAACATGTTTGTGAGTATAACCTACTGAAAGGATTAGATTTTTATGTTCCTTAATATGTAAGAATTCCTAACAAATTCCCATAGAAATATCAAGTTGCATATATTGAAGAGGGCAAGAGGAAAAGTCAAATCCCTCTCCTCCACATACAAATGTATGGAGACTAACACTCTGTTTTCTCCTTTCTTGATGAAAAAAAAAAAAGAATATTGGGTATACAATCATTAGCTATAGCACCCTGTTTGATACATTACTCCACTTTTATAAGTAACCATTAAGGAGCACTGTCTGGGTATAGACAATTGCAAATACATTTTAAAATTAATTAACTAATCTAATCTTACAGAATCACATAAATATTTTTCTCAAGTTTAGATATATTTCCAGTACAGTACTCCATAATCTATTAAATACATTTACTCATAAAAAATGAAATAAAGTTACGCTGGCAAGATTTCTTCATAAAGCCATGCTGACTTCTAATATTCTTGTTTTCAAAATGGTTATAGATTGGTTGCATTATAATTTATTTTCAAATCTTCCTAGATATTAATGCCAGACTGAATGGTGTATAGTTCTGTCTTCCTTTTATTCCCCTTTTGAAGATAAAGATAATTGACTTTCTCGAGTCAACTGGCACTTCACCAGTTTTATAGCATCTCTCAGAGACAACAGACATAAGTTTAATCAAAACTGATACATATGGTTTCGATCCCTTGAACTCATTTAAGGTCTGAAGATATTCATTACATTATGTAGTGAAGGCTGAGTCATACAGAAATAGAATTGCCGTTGTAAGCTCTATTTATTATTTTAGTCATGCCTATGGCATTTTATACTGAATCAGATAAAACCGCCTTGCCTCAGGAGATTTAGTAATCTAGACCTTGACACTACAAATACAACTTCTCTGTTGACTAACATTCTGCGTTAGCCAGAGGAAAGGGACCCAGTGAAGATAATGGTATCAGGAGAACCAGATGTACCACAAGTATTATAATATAACATTAAGTATTATATTTATTAATACTTGTATAACACAAGTATTATAACATTCCTAATAAATTTATACATTTAGGCGCAGCTCTTTTCTAAGTGATACAGTTGAAATTTGACTCCATTTAACCGGAGAGACAGTATTTATTTATTTAAGTAATCAAAATTCTACATTGGCCATCTCACCTGCATGACTCTGGATGGTTTACAAATAAAACCATACAACCATATAAAACGTGGTTTAAAAAAAACACCCAAATTAGAACAAAATTAAAAAACAATAAACAAGTGAACAGTGGGCAGTAAAAAAGTTAAAAGGGCAGAGGGAACAAACCACCCTTCAAACCACCAGCCACCCCCAAGTTGCATGCCACTGTTAGAAGTTAGAACCCCATGCCAGTTGGTGGAGCCAGGTTTTGGTGGTATTCTGGAAGACAAAGATAGCAGGGGCCCACCTCTCCTCCAGGGGAAGGGGCAACTGCAGAGAAGGCTCTCTTCCTAGACCCCACCAGTTGAAATTGATCGATAGGGTCGGCAATATACTCTCTCTGCTTGAATGGGTGGAATGGGTCAATAAAATAAAGACTGTTCCTTGAGTAACATGGTCCCATGCCATGAAGAGCTTTTGAAATGATAACCAACATCTTGAACTGGACCCAGAAGCAAACTAGTATCCAATGCCACTCACACAAGAGAGATGTTAGATGCACAACTCTAACAGTGGCTAAAACTGTTCGCACCACTGCACTGTACACCAGTGTAGTTTCCGGATAATCTTCAAGGGTAAACCCTATGTAGAGTGCATTGCAATAGTCAATGTGAGAAATGACTGTGGCACAAGTGAGCGAAAGAACACTTTGTGCCTTGTGGCGCAGTGGTTAGAGTGCAGTACTGCAGGCTATTTCTGCTGACTGCCAGTTGCCTGCAATTTGGCAGTTCAAATCCCACCAGGCTCAAGGTTGACTCAGCCTTCCATCCTTCCGAGGTGGGTAAAATGGGGACCCAAACTGTTGGGGGCAATATGCTGACTCTGTACACTGCTTAAAGAGGGCTGTAAAGCACTATAAAACGGTATATAAGTCTAAGTGCTATTGCTATTGTGGACTAACAACAATAAAGAAGAAAATGTCACAAGATGTTAATCCATGTTTAACTGTGACTAAATTAAAGATTTATCTGGATTTATACAATACCCTTGAATTGCAAGCTAGCCAACCTAAGTAATGGCTAGCCTACCATATTTGGCAAATCCAGTTGTATTTATTCTGCTCATCTCTAATACAAGCCTTGCTAATACAAACTGGTGCAATTTGGTTACATATTGAACCTTCATAGCTACAACACACATTTACAATAGACACTTTGTACCACAAAGGAAATATTGAATATGCAAAAATAAAAATTGTAAGATTAAGTAAATCTGACCTTACCAATACATGTCCTGAGATTGATGCTGCATTTGCCACAGAAGTAGTGAATACATTGTCTGCAGAGGCACCCACATTGGCTACTGTTACTGTGGTTACTTCTGTAAAACATGATCCAAATAATATTTTCTGTGATACCTTCCTTCAGAACTACCAAAATCCAAGAAGCAAATATGCACATGTTCTGTTAAATGAGACATTTATAGAATGATATCTTAATATGGATTCTGATGGCACAATTTTCATTATCTTCCTATCAATTTATATATTTATATACAATATATTTATATACTGACTTTATTAATAGAGCTATTGATGATTCTGTGCTCATATTAATAGCCATAATAATAGCCAATTATTAAGGGGAAAAAAGGAATCCTTGCCCCCCCACCCCTTTTATAATCTGACAATCTTATTTTGGCTGATTTTTGTAGAGTTCAATTACTATTGGGTAAGGTGTCAGTGTGTTGTATTTAATCTTGTCTGCTGTTGCTCTTAAAAAGTTTTAATCAGTCCAATAAAATGCAAGCGGGTAGCTACAGCAATTGTTTTTCATCAAGTACTCCAACTAAATTAGTAACTCAGATGTAGATATTTTAAAAAAAAACAGGTCATGTTTCTCCGATACAAGGCACTGTGATGGAGAAATGCTAGATTTCTTTCTGTCTGACCATCGACAATGGCCACACCACAGTCCTGTCAGGGATAAGAAGCGACACAACTAAAATAATGTAGAGGAAAAGGTGGCACTTTCTGCGTTTCCTTGACATCATGGATGATGCACACATGTATGTATATATCCTCACGATGAGGTACTAGAGGTAAGTTAAGAAGATCCAAACGTTTCCACTAAAGGAGAGACGCTTGAATATAAATATCCGCGTGATGCACCATTCACACAAGCGAATGATTCACCACACGACCCGAGCTCAATGACCGGTGGGTGGCGTGCTTGTACGCATGCGCGCCAACCTGCAAAGGCAGCTGCCGCAGCAGCCTCGTCTGCACTCGGTAGGGATTCGGCTCCCATCTCAATGTGTTCGGCATCTGCCGCCATTACGGTGACAGCCGTCACCTCCTCTTCCTCTTGTGGCTCCGCCTCCGAACCGGGCACCTGTCCTCTGTGTTCGTGCTGCTGTTCGGATCCTTCTGCGGCTGCGGCCGCTGCTGCAGCCACTGCGGCTGCGGCAGCTACCGCCGCCGCCTCGGCTAAACCTAGTTGCTTCGCGGCCGAGTCCGAGTCCTCCATCCGAAGACACTTAGTGGAGGGGGGGAGTATCCCGTGAGGTTAGCCGAACTCTTCCGAATAAGAGTTATTTCTCCGATCTCTCCCGATCTCTCCTTAAGAATCCGAAAAGGGAAACGAACGGCCCAAGCCGCTTCCGATCTTATCCGAGTATCGTCGACGACGGGTGTTCCCGAACTCGTCCTGCAACCCACTTCGGTCTCACCCGAGTGATCCCGATCGGAGCCGACTTCTCCCGATCCAGCGAAAGTTCATGTTGAGGCGACTAGAGCGAGATCGGAAGCTCGCGAAGTTACCCGAATAGATGCTGGTTACTCGTAGACCTACGGCCGCTGCCGAAGAGGCCCGAGTCTTTCCGGCTGTGACCGAACCGAGATGGGAAGCAAAGGTCCGAAGAACAGCGAAGGTTTCGTCAATCCTCCCTTTCACAATCCGGACCCACCGGCGGTGTCCGAGGGGCCCCGAATATCTCCGAGGACGCGAACAATAAAGGCGATCGTGGAGTTCCGCTCGCGCGAAATCCGCCGAACGGCAATCCGCCCATGCAAGCCCAAGAGGCTGCGCAAGGGTTGTCGGGATGCTGGAGGAATTGGGGAGGCGGGGTGAGAGAGTATGGCGGCCGTCAGGCAAGGTGAGCGGAACTGGTTTGACTCGAAACATTGCTTCAAGTTTTGAGAACCGAGTTAAGACGTGGAAAGGGGAAGCTTAGAGGAATCCTGGACACCGTTGGCGACATCTCGTTGGTCATTAGGTTGCAATCTAGCCTGCTTGCAAATGGGTTACCTTGACAACAGGGAAACAGTTGCAATGAAGTTCTGCTCCGTTAAATACTGTACGATGCTAGACTATACTAATGAGAGATTTGGTGTAATCTTAACAAAGGTTATCCTTTATAGAAGGCAACTGATAGACAATAATACTGGAGAGGATATTTGTCAAATGCTTAAATCTCCATTTTCTAGTATATTGTGCATTTAATATATTTTGTAGTTTTAATAAATATTTTACAGAAACTCATTGTTCCATTTTAGTCAAATCTCATCTTGTATATTGAAATCTAGTTTTAAGAATATAGAGAACTTGGAGCAGGTTCAAAAAAGGTAACAAGGATGAATAGAGAAGGAGAAACTAAATTAGGATAAGAATCAAATTGTTGGGGAAGCCTGGCCTTGAGAAAAAATCGCCGAAGGTTGTTATAGTATTTTCAGATGAAAATATATACCATCATCAACACCTATTTTCTTTCATTTCAGAGGGCATAAAGCTGAATAATGGATTCTAGAGAAAGGCAGATTGCAAAGGGACATTAAAGGAGGGAAAAAAGAGTTTCTGAGAATAAGGGCAGTTTGACAGTGGTGGAGCTAGAAAGGTGGTAGGCTTTTATTTTTATTCTAATATTCTGGAGAGATGCTTTGATTTGGATTCCTTTGAGGAAGGAACTGGATTACGTAAAAGACTTCTTCCAATCTGTGTTTCTCTAATTCAGTATTTATTGGCTATCACTTTTAACTAATTAACTGTTAACAACATATCAGTGTTAACCGCTAAAAAGTGAAACTTATACTTTAAATTTGCATTTGTGCTGAAATTATTACCAACTAAAAAAATCATTTCATGGTTATTTCGCTAGAGGGAGACAGAGGTACTCTATGTAATTGAAATACATTTCAATAAAGATGTCAAAAGAATTGTAAACTGCATATAGTCTGCCTTCCCTTACGCTCTGAGCAGAAAGATGTAGATGCTATATTATGTCATCTGTACCTAGAGGGAAAAATATCACACTGGATATACACTATAAATAGAGAAATCTCCCCCCCCCCCGCCTTGTAGAGGGTTGAGTAGAGGTTATGTAAAAACTCATATATGAGGGTCATGACATGAGGCAATATTTGTATATTTCTGTTCTGAAAATTGAAGGGAGAGTGGACTGTATGTACCGGTCTGATAGCATATCTAGATATCCCTGCAATCATTGAATGAGAGGACCTGGATAACTCCTAAACCTGTTGCATTCTATATAGTTATCAGGCTGAGTTCAGTTCCCAATACAAATCGTCCTCGACTTACAACCGTTCATTTAGTGACTGTTCAAAGTTACAACGCCACTGAAAAAAGTGATTTATGACCATTTTTCACACTTAATGACCACTGCAGCATCTCCATAATCATGTGATCAAAATTCAGGTGCTTGGCAACTGACTTATATTTGTGACGGTTCCAGTGTCCCAAGGTCATTTGATTACCTTTGTATCCTTCTGTCAAGCAAAGTCAATGGGGAAGCCAGATTCACTTAACAACCGTGTTATTAACAACTGCAGTGATTCACTTAGCAACGTAAATTTTGGGCTCAGTTGTGGTCATACGTCGAGGACTTGTAGATAGCTTGAACCCCAAAGAATAACATCTGGCAACCCATACCTGAAGACTCAATAAACAACGAAACTGGTCACAGTGCTTCTGGCACTCCATATAAAGCATGAATGAAGATATTCAAGTCCAACATGACTCCTAGCACAGATATAAACATGTACTTAAAGAGATTTAAATAAGCCTAGAATTCATAACTTCTCGTTGTATTGCATAGCTCATTTTTTATTTATTTTTTTATCAGAATTTTGGACTATATTTTAACTGCTTAAATCTGAATAATTCATTCCAGTAATAAATCTGCCTAATGGTTTCATGAATTTATTAAGTAAAGTATTTAGTATTTTAACTCTGGGTCTAAACCAAAAACTTGCAGAAAATTATGTTAAGTAATTTTCAGTTAAGGTACCAGTATTATCAAAGGCTGATAGGGGTGCTGCAACTTTGAAACAAGTTGTGCCATGTTCTGAATTATGCAGCTGATTTACTGGAGGACGGGAATGGCCAAACTCTTGGCATCACGTTGTCAAAACATGAGGCATCCCAACATTTTTCCCCTTCACTAAACTGGGAGTAGGCATGGTCAGCACATGACTCATCCAGCCCAAGGGCCACGAGTTTGACACCCCTACTGTAGGACAATATTTCCTTTTCAGAATAATTAGAAGAATTTCTGCACACTAGCTTTTGTAACTTTTTCGCCTTAAAAGTTTAACTTTGGATAATTATTTTTGTCTTGTGTACAGGGAGATCATCATCTGTTGTATCCTTTTTCTTTTATCTGAAAAACCAAATCAACGTTGATCAATCATACCTATAATTTTCAAATGTGCTTCAGAGAGAGTTGGTATCTTCTTAGAAGTTTATGATGGTTCTTTTGAGGAAAGTGAATAATGGTGGATAAATTTCTAACATATACAGTAAATGCAGGAGACTGTTAGGTATATCTTACAGCAACTTTGCTGTTCATCTGATCTTGCATGAATAGCCTTAGAATATCATCTACTAAAATCCACATTAATTCCATGACAGTCTGTTGATGTGATTACTTCCAGAAACTGCAGAAATATGAGAAATGTAGCTATATGTCATTAACCTCTAATAAGTTTCATTTCCAGTCTTAATGTTTAAGGAGATGCTATGCAACTTAACAATATTGTTATTGACTATAGGCATTAAGATATAATTGATTGACATACTGTGAAATCAGAAAATGAAATATATAGAATAATAATATTTAAAGGAGGAAACTGCAAGACACGTAATACAACTTACAGAAAAAAATCCCTCCAAAAGCATTTGAGACGTAATCTTCAGCTATTTCTTCTACTGCAATCTCATTTTCATTTTCATTCCTCATCTTTTCTGTAAACTGTAATACATCTGTTATCAGTAGGTTTTAAAATGTTCAATTGAAAAGGGATTATCCTTTAAGTAAAATAGAAGCAAAATGAATATCTACATAACAAACAATAATACACAAATTCCTTTCAGATCTAAGTGGGTGTGGTTGGCTTCATTTTCCCCAAGAAAAGTTTGCCTTTCAGCAATTTACTGTACATGTTCTAGCAAGAGTACTGCAAATATTTCTTCAATGCAAAACAAATGCAAAAATAATCACACCAATTTAATTTGCTGTTTTTAAAAGGCTTCTTGCCATATTTAGCATTCTATTGTTGATTTATAAAATTAAAGAGAACAAATAAAAACTACCAGATGTGTGCTTTTCAGTTATAATTCTAACAGATAGGTAGTTTAGCATAATGGTTAAGGTGCTGGTCTTAACCAGGAGACAGTAAGTTCTAGGTTTCCTTTAGTGTGAAAGCAGGCTGTGTGACTTTGGTCCAGTCACTCAGCCCAACCCACCCAGAGGATTGTTGTGGGGAAATAGGAGGCAGATGTTCTCTGCCTCGAGTTATATATAAAAATGTGGGATAAAAGTATAATTTTAAAATAAATGTATTTAATTTTGCATAATAACAGTATTTGTTATTTGGATTTCTATAGCACCCCATTTCAAACAGTTCTGAGCAATATGCCACATAAAAAGAAAATTATAAACTAGGTCAAATTACAATAGCAATCCCATCCACTTGGAGATATTTAACACTCCTCCAGGTCTTCTATCACACAGCCATGTTGTCACACAGCTCCATGGAAACTGGTGGGAAGTGATGGTGCATATTCTACAGAAGGGTAAATTCTACAGAGGAGGAGCTACCATTGAGAAGATATGACTACAAGGTCAACAGGTTGACCTTGATTGATTCGAGGTCTTCTCTCCTTGATCTCACTAGATGGATAGCCTTCAGAGCAATTATTCTTGAAGAGCCCAAGCCCTGAAACATATAGGATTTTAAAAACGTACCTAGCATACTATATTGTGCCCAGAAGCTGACTAGTGTCAATGCGGCTCTAAGAGATATTATATGAATTGATTTAAATGTTCCCCCAACTATCTGGGTTGCTGTGTGCTGAACCTGTTTAAGCTTTCAGTTGTTTTTCAAAGACAGTCCTGCCTAGAACAAATTGCATAATGCACTCTTATGCAGGAAAAAATACAACTGAGCACAAAGGCCGTTCTGATCATTGTTTCCATCTGCTTCTCAAGCAGGAGCTGCAAATCTAGGAGAATTACCCAGATTTTGAACGAGCTCAGTATGGGGATATGATTGCATCCAGAGTCATAAATGGACAATCTTTGGAATTTGGAAGATTAGGACCCATAGCCACTCTCTTCTAGGGGTTTAATCTGAATCTGTTCCTCTCCACCTAGATGCTTATTGCCTCCAAGCATCCATAACATCTGGCTACCTATGTCTAAGGAATCCCAATAAGGGCAAAACCGGTCATGCAACTGAAAATACCTCACAAGATGTACATTGTAAAAATAAATAATTCCCCTCTCCCCCAGAAGCATGGAGGTTATGTAAGCCCCCATATAAGGGATCCTGACATAATGTAATATTTGCCTGCTCGGGAAGAGCCTAACAGAAATATTAATTAAATTTAATTAATTAAGATATACCATTTTAATAATGCTTCTAGATACGGAACTGTGGAACTGCTGAATCCCAGAACCTGGATACTCCCAGTAGCCAATGCACTTTATATACACATCTAAAGTGTGTGGTTTGTGAATTCAATTCAATCCGAACTGCAAATAAACATGAAGTCACTACCTCATTAAGATGTGAAATCTCAATACCCCATTCAGATGTATAATAACATATTGCAATACAATGCATCTCTTGTGTATTATACTCGACTAAGCATTAAAGTCAGTGTTGGATGTATATTTTGTGTATATTCGTAGATATTGTAGTCTCAAATTGCAAATGGAGACGTGGATACGCTTTCTTATCTTCATTTTTAAGTGCTTTGGTTTTATTGTATTGCGAACAGTTGCTGGGGTGCATCCATAGTTTCGGTGTACTTGCACAATGACAATAAAGTTCTTCTAATCTTCTAATCTAATTCTAATTGCTGATAGATGGTATGAATTTCAGAAAATAGCATCTCATCTGGCTACCTGTTTCTGAGGAATCCCTCAAAAGATGATACAGGTCATGTGGTGTGTCCTGGTTGTCTAAGTATCTGAGATTCAGAAAAAAAAATATCCAGGCCTTTGCAGATAAAAGAAATAGTTCCAAGCATTTGAGATAGGAGAATAGAGAATGAGCCAGTATAGCATATCCCTAAAGGGGAGAAAGGATATAGCTATATCCTCAAATAAGACAGAAAGACGAGGCACAGTAGATGACGATTTATCTCAAAGAGTTAAAACAAATTTCTTCTGAAATTGTTCTGTTTGCCATAAGCAAGGATTAGCAACATGACAACTTCTAAGACTTATCACGTCACCTTGCAAGCATGTGTTCCTGCCAACACAGGTGGAGGCAAAGGATATTATAATTGTATTACGTTTGAGACTAAAATTCTCAAAAGGAAAGCTAGGATCTTGGAGGCTCAAGTAGTAGCCTTATCCATCTGTCCAATCCGTGACAGAAATCTGATGGAATTGCTATCATAGATGTAAGCTAGAAACTGAAGAGCAGAGTTCAAATGGAACATAAGCAATAGAAAGGGAGGAAGACTTCCATGTTACTGTAAAATATACTCATCCATGCTTAGAAAAGCAAAACCAAATTAATGAATTTGGTAGTATCATTAAAACAAGATCTACGACTAAGTAAATGAACAAGCAAAAGCAGTACTCTTGTTGGTATTGTTCATCTTGCTAAGAAAATATATAATTTTCAATAGCAAATTGCAGATTTTTCAAAGAAGCATACATTCATAAAGATAAAGATCTTTAATTATACTGTCATCTGTTAGGAGTCAAAATCTGCCAAACATAGCCTAAAAATTCCTGATGTGTATTCATAACAACTTTCTCCTTCAATGCATGGAAGATGCAGGAAAATTTGCTAGTTTTAACCTAATATTGACCAATAGGGTAGACTTAAGATGAGGAACTGGATGCAGCAGGAACGCTGGGGAAAAGGTTAGATTTCTTGATTTTTAGACTTCAAAAAAGCATGCCTTTTTTGGAAACAGGCTTGTTAATGGCACTGTGATTTGAAGTGGAGGCAATATTTAACTTTTAGAATCTTTAGAGGAGACACAGCTCTTAGAAATAATACTATCTGTACCATTTCTCCTAACTTAGAAATAATTCTCTATATGGGATCAGAGATTCTCTTATGATATTTTACTGGCTATTAATAGAGTACATAATTAGTGGACTCTTATATGTGGGTTAGTAACCTGAAATAGATTACAGTGGCACAGCTAAATAGACCATTAGCTGATTTTCTGACCTTATTCTCGATACCACACTACGATTAATTTGGTTTTAACTTTTCTAACCTCAGCCATTGTGTTTGTAAACTATAGTTTATGGCTTAATGTACAAATATAGCTGATTAAGATTTATTCATAAATCATGGTTAAGGAAAATTGTGGGTGGCTTAGTACAGCTTCTGAACCAGTTTGCTGTATGTGCCCAGTAGCCAAGCACATGCAACATTTATTGAAAAAGTTCTCAATTCAGTCTCTAGATGAAACAATTTCACATTGCAGTAGAAACAACGTCATGACTGGATAGAAAGGAAATGTAATGTTTTGAAGTATTCTAAAACGTACGTTTGGAATCACTACACAGTGATTCGGCAGGAACACTGGATCCACTCTGGAAGCAGCCATTCCTCAAAAAGACCATTAAAAAAAACCTGCTTACTGAAATATGGTGTAGTTGTGTTAGCTGTGGCCTGTGGCTCCTAGTCAACTGAAGCACAGTTACTTCACTCCGGTATACTTATCCAATCTTAAGTTTATTATCAATCTTTGGAAATGGATTACTGATTTAAATCAGTTTATACTGATTTAAATCAGTTTATACTGATTTAAATCAGTTTATATTGATTTAAGTAATTTATACTACCACTTGATAGGCTGAGGCTGCAGTTTTATAGTATATAACACTGAATTATGATCCAACATAAATAAAATGTGAAAAATGTGATTGTAATTTTCCTTGACAGAACCTGCTAGCTGTCATCTGTTCCCCTACAGATCCTTTTCTTTTTAGATGGAATTTATTATGTATTTTATTTTTTAGCAACACTTCTAATGATTATTTATAAAAGTAAGTTGTTTAAAATACAGAGTTAAGAGATGGTTCTGCTGATTCTTGACAACATGATATATGCTAACTTGATTTTTCTCTCCCTTTTATATTTTACTATCAGGTCAGATTTTCACTTATCCATATAACTTATTGACTCTTGATCTCATATTGCTGTTCTTTATGGCACTTCTTGAAGCAACCCGCTTGTACTTTGGTAAGCATTATGTAATTTACAACCACCCCTTAATATTAACCTGTATGTAAAAATATGAGTCCAACTGTGCAATTCAAGACAACTAGCCAATTATCTGATAAGCCTTTTAAATATTTTTACTGTTAAACATTAAAAGACTGGTCAATCTATTTGGGTGAAAGTGCAAATGAGACATTAATATAAAAATAAGATTTTTTTTCCAGTGGCCAATTCAGTTGTTTTGCGCATATTAGCTCAGAAAGAGTTCAGTGGCACTTACTCTGCATAAAAGGACTACTTTAAAAATTATAACGATTGAAGAATGAAAACTATTGTATATGGCAGTATTTTTTGTCAAGGCCACTAGAGAAGAATGTAACAAAAAGGAAGGACCTATTTTGGGGGGTCGGGTAGAGATTCTTCAAACCACTTGAATAGTCAAAAGTGCTGTAGAATGGAATTGCGTTGTTGTGTCTGTCTGCCTCTTTTTTGTATGAAAGGCCACTGCTGGGCTCCAGTACTGTATCAGCAGTTTAAGCAGCCATAGGATAAATTGTACAGCTTAAATTATCTTCTTCTTTAATAAGCAGTGTACTTGCCACTATTATGAAATTTAACTGTACAGGTAGTCCTCAATGTGTAACCATTCATTCATTCATTCAGAGGGGGTCAACTATATTTCCAAAGCACCAGAAGGCAAGACAAGAAATAATGGATGGAAATTAATCAAGCAGAAGCAATCTGAAATTAAGGAGAAACTTCTTAATAATGAGGACAATTAACCAGTGGAATAGCTTCCTTCAAAAGTTGTGTGTGCTTCATCAGTGGAAGTTTTTAAGAGAGTGAACAGCCACCTATCTGAAATGGTATAGGGTCTCCTGCTTGAGCAAAGGGTTGGACTAGAAGACCTCCAAGGTCCCTTCCAGGTCTATTCTGATTGATTTAGTGGCCAAAGTTACGATGACACTGAAAACAGTGACTTATGACCATTTTTCACACTTAACAATCGTTGCAGCATCCCCATGGTCACATGATCAAAATTTGGACGCTTGCCAAGTGACCTGTAATGACACTCTCAGTGTCCTGGGGTCATGTTTTGCGACCTTCAGACAAGCAAAGTCAATAGGGAAGCCAGATTCACTTAACAACTGGGTTACTAATTTAACAACTGCAGTGATTCATTTAAGCCAAGGACTACCTGTATTCAAGAGTTTCTCCTGTAGAATTCTAGACTGGATCATTACACACAAAAATTGTTCGTAACATGCTGCTACATAAGGGATAATAGCTGTGTAGCTTACAAGAAGATGGTATCCCATAGACAAGGGGTGTCAAACTGGTGGCCCATGGCCCATATGTGTCATGTGCAGGCCACACCCACCCCAGCCCCGTGAATGGGGAAACCATCACGAAACGTCACATGACAGCAACGTGACGCCACAAGTTTGACACCTGTGCTGTAGACGAATAGGTTTTTCTTTGGCAATGAGCCTGCCAGGCAGAACAATGAACCACAACTGTTTCTTCTGCTCCATCTTAAGACCTGTCTAAATATGTAGCCAGATCACCTCTGCCTCTTTAGCATTACAAACCAATACAGCTGTGAAGGAAGAGCTGCTCAGAATCAATTGAATTGAAATGGGCAGCCAAAGAAATTGAATGAACAAATGAATTTATTAATTAATGAACAAATAAACAAGAAACATGTCTCCAGTTACACGAAAGTTCTTAGCAGAACCTTACTCAGCAGTACTCCAGCAGTAGGAAAGTTTTTGACCCAGCCGTATACTTTGTCTTTAATAACTCTATAATCATTAGGGTTCAGTTTCTATTTAAGATTGCAGTATAAGCTATTTCCCCCCTCTTTAAATTCAATTATTGTTCAGTTTCAGAGTTCTACTGTTATGGTCTAACAGTCTTCATAAATGCCATCAGGTACACATATGTCCTTTCCCCCCCATTAGGTACGAAAGGCAACTTGACAGAAGAGGAAGTCCCCCTTGGGATCAGTCTTGGAGTCACTATTGGCAGTGTACTTCTATCAGTCTACTTTCTAGTGTGGCAAACATATATCCTGAGAGCAGATGTCATTATTAATGGGGTGTTACTTGTTGCATACGGACTTGAAGGAATTCTACAAATCATAGCAATTGCTGCCTTTGTCAGCTAAATCATGTTGACGCTTGTATACTTGATTTTTCTGCGTTTTCTTGCAATAGAAGCAACATTTAAAAATCACACAAAGGAGATGATCTGGCAATTCTGTTCCTTGTGACATACCAAAGTTTCATGAGACATTGGTAAAACAGGTTCTGCTGGCCCATTTTCAGCATAGTATGTTTACTGTAATGACCAGTGGTTCAATGAAAGTTTGCAAGTTTGTGGCAAACAAGCTGTTTTTCAAGGGGAAAATATCTCTTTAAATACACAGGAGGAATATTTATTTATTTATTACATGTATATGCCACCCTCTCACTTTTTAAAGCAACTCTGGGCAGCTTGCAATTTAAATCATAAATATTAAAATATTAACAATGTATACAAACGGAAAAAAAACACATGGCAAGGATAGCACAAAGGTGGCACCTTCCCTATAAGTCCACTAGCCCCCTCCAACATGGAGCATCCCCATCAGGACCTCAGACCATCCACATCAACTGAAACTCTTTGTCCAATAGGATGCAGAGCCTGCTGCTTCTGCCAGATTGAGTGGGGCAGACCAATCCCACTGCGGTGAGATGGTTTCTTAGCTTACCTGGTCCCATGCCATGAAGGTCATAACCAACACCTTGACTTGATCCTGGAAGCAAAGTGGCAACCAGCGGAGGTTGCACAACACAGTATTACGGGTGACCACCTAGGATTGTGTTACTGCATTTTGTATGAATTGTAGTTTCCAAATACTCTTCAAGGGTAGCCACATATAAAACATTGCAGTAAACCAAAAATATATACACTTTTATTCAAAGTTAGTATCTTAAAATTAGGTAGCCTCAGGTTTGCATTTTTGTGGCAAGTATAATTTTTTCTTGTTATATCTGCACCAGGCCAACAGATCATAGGTTAGCCTACAATTAGAATTATAATATTTTCTAATTTTAATTTGCAAGGCACAGCATAAAGAGAAAAGATCAGATACTACATCAGAATCGAATCTGCCATATCATAGACAGAAGTTACACATACTAAAATAAAAAGTGGTTCTTTCGCTTTTTGCTTAAAATGTGAGATATGTTTAAAAGCCATGGTTTATAATGTAGTTTAGTATGTAAATCCTGCTAGTAAAGTCTCATTCAGTACATTACACTTTTTAAAAGATGTAGTGTGCTTTACTGACCTATCTATAATCTTTCTAATACCTGTTAGCATTCTTGTTTGCATAATTTCCAGTTAACCAAAATTACACATTTTAAAGTTTCATTTCAAGAATATTAGGTTGAGAATTATTCCACTTTACATGGAATACCTGGAATAATTCTTTTTCAACATGTTTACCCCGCTATTTTTCCCTTCAGATTCTATGAAATCTGTTATTTGTTTTGAGTATAGTTAAAAGCGTTTCTGAGGATTTTTTCATCCATTCATGTTTCTTGTGATCGTAAGGAAAAGCAAGATATAAATGAATTTTCTAGGAACTCTATATAACATTGTTTTACCTTTTATTTTTGTGTGTGTTAATTTGCAACATTCCAGTTTTCTTTTGTAAATACTTGTTTTGTGCTTTTTTCAAAAGCAGATATATAGATCTGATGACTTGTTTTTTTCTCCCAAAACTATTATATTTATATTTTTATATGTCTTTTTAATAAATATTTCAGAGATTGTACATATGTGTGTCTCTTATTGATCTTCTGATAGCAATGATAGTTGAATGTAGAATGTAAGTCCATCTTGTCTGTGCTATATGTTATGGAGTTCTTATAGATAATGGAGCATTGCACAAAAGGCATAGGAAAGAGAAATGTCAGGTTTGGGGTTTAGTGAGTCTATAGCTTTAATAACTTAGAATTATTTCAAATCTGATTGTAGACATTTATCACTTTTGTAGGGCTGACACTCTGGAAGAGCCTTGTATTGATGTATTAGTACCAGAGATAGAGAGAGGAAAGTTCAAGCTTGTGTGAAGATTATTATGGAGAATGCCTAACATATATAATTATTTCTGACATTTCAGAACAATGCAGCAGGAATGTTCAATGAATTAGAATGAGTGCTGATTATATCAGAATGAGCCAAACTTTGGAACAAGTAAAAGAGGAATGACATATAATTTTATAATTATACTTACCAACTCAACAGTTGTGATTTGTAACTCATTTTTGCATATGTTCAAGTGCATGCTTACATAAATATTTTTCATCATGATCAATAGCATTTACTACCATGGAAACATTGACTATATTACTAATTTGATTAATTGATTACTCAAAATCACTTTAAAACGATTAGTGCAATGTATCATTTTATTGTGTTTTACTTCTCAACATTTAAAAGAGACTGAGTTTCTCCCACGTATATAGAGGTTAGAGCCTAGCAAACTAAGGCTGAATCCAATTCTCTAAACACTCCCGGAATAGGTGGATCCAAAATCTCCCCATTTTGGGGGGTGGATAGGAAGATTGCACAAACTTATTATAAACAAGATATAACAGAGTCACAAAAATGATTCACTGGAACATTTGTAAAAATTATAATATGCCAGTAATAAAAAATAGGTGGGAACATAGAATGGAAAAATATTCAAAAGCGAGCAGGTTAAAATGTGGGATTTGTAAAGACAAACTGATCCATTAGATTTGGTCCATTGGATTTAACTATAGTTAAAGAAGGAAGTGTGGATAATTGATGTGCCAATATTGGGATAGTAAGGCAGAAGACAAAAGAATTGAAGATCACAAGGTATCAATATCTGAAAATCAAAGTTGAAATATGGCATAAACTTGGTTATTTTGGTGCCCGTGGTTATTGGCAAACTGAGTGTATGTTACCAAAAAATCTTGGACAACACTTAGAAAATCTATGCATTAGCAAAAAATTTGTTAATGGCAAAAAGCCACACTGTTTGGATCCTGATATATACACACAAATACATTATGACATGCTAAGTTCTTGGGAAGAACTTGATGTATATGACAGCCAACAGTAGCTAGAAAACTGAGAACTGTTTATATGTTCATATTTTTAATCTAGTATGTCGCATTAATAATGTTCATACTGATGCACTAAATGTTTTACAGATGGATATTGCTAAACTGTCAATTCTTTTTATGTAATCTATCTGTATAAAACAAAACATCTTTATGGCTCAGAAACTAATCTAAAGGGCATATATAATATTGTCCAATACAGAACATTTAATAAACGTTTTAAAGCAACCTAGTACCCTTAAGGTACTTTGTGACTGCAATTCCCGGCTAAATGTGAAAATTAGAGAGTATCAGGTTGGGAAAATTGGTTTACATTGCTAAGCATATTAGAAGTGCTTTCTTATATCAAAGTGAAATACTGTAACCTTAAATAATTTTAACTAAACCATGGAGTAGATTACTCAAGTATTTCTATGCTATGCTTCATCTGCTATTTTGTATATGAGCATGAATTGTCATGGTGAAGTCACAATAATTGCTAAACACACTAACATTTTGAAGTGTCTAATTAAAAAGCCTAGCCCTTCTAGAACAGGATAAGCAAGTTTAAATTAAAGCTGCATTAAAAATAAAGAAGCATATGCTTTTTAGATGTCAAAATCTTGCTTTGGGTGATGCTTGCTTCAAGGAAAAAACTTCATTCTAAACACAATTTGGTTAGCTTAATTTAAAATTTTGCTTTAAAGGGGAAAAAAACATAAGATGTCCTATAGAGTTAAAGCTATTTTTTCATTATTTTGCTACTTCCAAACCAAATGAAATTAAGGGAAATTAAAACAAAGTACTAGATTTCATAAGATGCAGTAAGCACATTTCTGCCCACAAGATAGTAAGTTATAGGTGCTTAAAGCAACTTAAGGGAGGACTCTCTTCACCTCAACAACACGTTCTGAAAAGTCTGAATATGCAGAAAATAAGAAAATCAGACCACACAGAAATCAGCCTACACAGATACAATTTCTATGTTCAAATCATAGATAATGCAATAAACACAACCTAATTCTGTAATTGGGAATCTGCCAACTACAGCTCTTCCTTCCACCTCTTATTAGAGGCATTTAAAAATGAATAGGATATTGCAAATTGATTCATCTATGGCATTATATAATTAATGTAAATAAATCTGTTCTATCCACTAATCTGATTCTGGGAGAGTAAGCATATGCCTAGAATTAAAAGATTTCAGTCCCTTCTTTCAGGGTCTCCACTGCTTGGGTTGGATTGTAAATCCCCAAATTTCTCTGGGCAGTATGTCAAATAGGCATCTCCTTTCTCACACTTTTCAAATTCCTTCATGCACCGAAATCATGTGGGTCTCTTGTATGCCTACATCTACCATTGTACCCTTGAGAAATCTGTCAATTTAACATGCTCTGAGCACATTCCCTCTCCCCTTGCAAATTAAAAAGACTCTGGAGGGATTGCGGGAACAATTCATACTGCTATTAGTATCAAGAAGCCACGGTAAGGTACTTTGACATGCATTTGGATATCACAATCTTTGAAGTCATTCTATTAACTTACTTCTTTCTTTCCTGAAAGAAGAGCATACTAGAAACTTATTAGTCTGAGAACAGCAGTTTGCCTTTATAACGAAAATCAAATTGGTTTCTAATTTGCAAGAGCAAATTGCTACTTAGTGAAGAAGGGTACATGTCATTGCTAGCACAGCTGTCTAAGCCTTATGGCAGTTTTTCAGTGCTCCCGGGAAAAGCAGTACCATAATAGCACTGTCACAAAAAAAGACACATGTACATGACTTCAATTTCAAGCCACAGCACCTTTCTGAGTGACAAATTGAAGAAAATTTTCTTTTTTTCCATCCCTGACTTTGGACAAGTATTGTAAACCAGAATAAACAAAACCGGGCAGCAGGATTGATGCAAAGTCCTCTACAGATTAGGGTACCTAATCATAAACAAGCAGTGTGTTGTTGTTTATTCATTGTTATTTACCACCTCCTGTCAGTGGCAGGAACTAAACAAATGTGGATTGTGCCATCATCCATTGGTCTGTTTAGTCTTTCAAACAAATTGGGGTTTTTATAAATTTACCTTTTGTTCTACAGTTACAATAGAACTCTCACCTTTCTGTAGTCTGTCCTGTCTAATCAAAATTATAAATCGAAAATTATTATTTTTTCTGTTTCACACAAAAGATTCAAACGG